AGTACGGGTCGATCATGATTGACCGTTGGTGTTACGCCATATAGGCTTCAGATAGGAGTGGCCAAGAGTTGATAGCTGTAATAAATTTTGAACAAACATTATTCGAGGTGCCTTTGCATTACGGGAATTCCTATTGGGTGATTTCAATACTACAAAAAAAATTATTTTTTAAACATTTGTTAAGGAATGATTTTTAACTACAAAACACACATGACAGATTAGTTTTGTTGAATACGTCCCTCGTTGATTCTGAATCCAAAGCGTTAAGAATTAAAGACTCCTGATGAATTATATTTTATTTAGTAATTCAAATTTGTAATCCTATGATTAAAGATTATGACTGATTAATGAAACCATTATTTCTATGATTCATGATCATGATTATTGGGCTTAGGGACACAAAATCGAAAGAACAAGAGGTCAAATGAACAAAAGGTCGAAAGGACAACAGTACAGACTAATCCAGGCAACGGAGGCGGTAATTTTTCAAGTACGGAGTTGATCGGTAAAACATTAGAATTTTCAAACATAAATTTTCTTTATTCCGAACTAATGATAAAAATAAAATGTTCGGTTTTATTGAATTTTTCCGAGTAGCGGTCATTTGAAAATGACCGAATTTTCAGCTGTTCAAAAACTCAGTAAAATGTTACCAGTAATCAGTGTCATCTGATCACTCAATGTGCGCAATGTACTGGTTTTCTGAAATAAACAAAGTGAGAATCAAGCAAACACAAAGTTTGCTTGTCTTTCATCCTGCGCAAGTGTGAAGCGCAGCGGAGAAGAGAAGACAGACACACACCCAGAAATAACGAAAGCTTAATCTGTAGCCATCGCTCCGACGGCTCCGACACAAAGAGCGCCACTCATTGTACGGTTGCAAATGGGAAACCCAGCAAAATCACAAAGTTCTTCTTGGTTATGCTCTTCTTCATCTCCTATGCATACAGTCGTGGTAGGCAAAATCTGCAAAGATTCAGAGAAGACATTAGCACTTATTGTATTACTATATATTTGCTCCCTGCGCCGCACGGAGTACACCGCTCATTGTGTGGATCGCTTTCTCACATATTAGTTGGAAAAGAGTGTGCCAAGTAAATGGGAGAACCACAAACTCTTTGCGAGTGTTGAGAGATGCGTACATAAAGTTGCTTTGCTAACGCTCTGAGGTGCTTTCTAGTCCTGATGATCTGAATTATGCGTCGAATCTGATCCGGTCGAAAAGCCAAAAGCTGATGTATATATAAATAATAGGATGCCAATGAAAATGATCACCTTGAGTTTTTGAAACGGCACATCTAAAAAATGCTTATTACCACGAAAAAAGACCCTGTGCAAAATTTGGGCTCAATCGGACGAAAATCGATTTTCGTGAGTCTTTCGATTCTCGGCTTCCGTTCTCTAAAACGGTTGAAGTTAGTGTTTTGGTGCTTTCTGACCACCTAGTCAGGTCCTAAACGAAAATTTTGGGATTTACTTTAAAAATAATTTATTGTGTAGTTTATGACGGTCAAAGATAGCGCCTTGATTCTTTCCTACCGCCAAACCAGATTCCAAACGAACGTTTTGACATGTATTTCTGGAGAATCCTTTGTGTCCTCAGTGAGATCAATCTAGAAGAAATCCGATGACCGGAGCAACAATAATTACACACCAAATAGTCGTTTTCATCGTCTAACGGGCAGGCTTGACCCAATATATTTTTTTTTTCACAAGCTAGAACCATGGCTACCATGAATACTGGCGGTGGAGTGAATACGACGTAAACTTTTCATACAGTCAGCAATCATAGACGTTGAAAAGTTTGTTGAATGTAATGCATGCTTGCAGACGTTCTCCTACAGGTTACTATGGCTCACTGCAATAATGCTGCGAGTTAGCGATCAGAAAGGTCGAACTACGAATCTCAAAATCTGACTTTTGTTCACTTTTTATTATAGTCTATTAGGTCTTATATGACTACAGCTTCATCAAATACCCGCGGGTAGCTAAAATAGTTGCATAAAAGCCCTGAACTATGTCACAAGGCCAGAATATTACTGAGTATTCAGAGGGACTACGTGACCAAGTATGAACACCAAGAAACTTTCGGGATACAATTAATATATTACCCTTTTCTGTGGCTCAGTAGTGTGTGTTATATCATTTTAAGAGTGTAGGCGAGAATTGGGAAGCACTACAGGATTTCCTAAGGCGTTGGTCCACGCTACTATTCCATGTGACCGGAAATATGCGGTTCGGAATGTTTCATTGTTGTTGATTTTGGTTTTGTAGGTGATGCCGGGTGTTATTTATCAACCCCATAGACGCTCCAGCAAACGCTGGTTCAATTGGCTAACAGGCGTCCACAATCTTTGATTAAATTGGCAGGAGTGGCACCGGTTGTGTTATCGCGAACGCTCATATTATAATATCAAATTTAGTTTTCATTTTGTTTTCATTCTCAGCTCGGGTAGGATCTCCAGGTGTGGTATGGTAGCTGCCTTCCTGGCATGTAGCATTGGTGCTCAGCACGGAAACAAGATCGACGGAAAACAAATCAAGGAAAAAAAAACTAAGAACAATGCCAAAATAAAAAGTAATGATTATTTGCCCGAAAACCTCATCGCTAATTTTTGCTCACTTGAATTTCAAAACACAAAATTCGTAGGTGAATAAACTCATGCATGAAATTTGAATTTTGAGCTTCATGAATATCTCCGAAGTTCCGTGAAGTTTTCCGAGCTCATGTGAACTTCTTTTAAAATCCCTGAAGTTCTCCTAATTTCCGTGAACTTCTTTAAAGTTCCGTAAAATTCTACGACGTTCCATAAAGTTTTCCGCAGTTCAATTGACTCTCCAATATCCGTGAAATTTTTTGAAGTATCATGATATTCTCACATTCTCAAATGAGAATGATCCATGCGTCAAATGACTAAGCAACTAATATCACCCATTCGGAGGAGGTATCCTTTAATAGCGAATAGCTACTTTTCTCATTTTCATCAAAAATGTTTAAATGATTTTGAGAATTTACAGCACTGCTATAGACCACTGCACGCGAAAGCTAACGTCACTTTTGCTTGTATTTTTATTCGTCATTCTACACGTGCGTGAAAGAGATGTGCAGTAACGAACAAGAGCAAAACAAACCCAGCAGAAATGTCAAAGTTTGTGGTGAAGAGTGGGTGCAGGGAAATGTGGGTTTGGTCCAATGAGGTACAGAGAGAGGTGAAGCAGACCGTGAAATATTGTTGTATTAGTAAACCAAAAAATTAATGTAAACGCAAGTAGTGACTTCACTAAAATCTTGTATCGTACAGGGGTTTTACTCACACAACTTAACCGATTGCTTCACCTCGGTAATCCAGCTCATTGGGTTTGGTCTCATGCAGTGGTTTATTGGAACTGTTCTTTTACGGTTATCATTCTTCGATTGCTACGGCAGCTCCTTCATCTATCTGAATGTACAAAGCTGTGTAGGAATAACCTTCCTACGTCTGAGCAGTTCATGGCGATCAGTATCCTCTTACAAAGCTGCTTTTCTTGTGGTCGCCGTAGAAAATATGTGTCCTTTCGCGGTCACATTTGCAGACAATGTCAATAAGTATTGTCTTTATAAACAGGTGGTTCCTTGTTTCGAAATTCTGAATAATCGATCATATTTTGAGAAAAATCGTGTTACTCGGTTCATTGAACCAACTCTGAGTAGTTCTGTCCTATCAACCTATCTCCTGAAGATAAATTGGTGGCCCTGAAAAGGGTTGTTTGTGTAAATTCAATCAGCGATTCAGCCGGTTCAGGTGTGGCACGCTGAAGGTAACAAACAGTTTGTTTTTTATTTTTTATTATTATAGTCACTTTAACGCTCTTGGTTCATTCGTGACTTGTCCGGGGGTGAGATTTGAACTCGTGACTTTGGCGTGAGTGGTATGGATGCTAACCACTACGCCGGGGTCGCCCCCACAAACAGTTTGTTACCAAGTACCCGTATTCGATTCAACAAATAATACGGTACTTGACATCGAACGAAACGCTAGATGCTATCGACACCACCAAATGGGAGGAGCTTCGGTCAGCTACTGTATGGCTAGTTTCAGTCAGCTACAACCTCGGATAGTTTCATCAACATGATAAACCACTTGTATTAAAATGGATTTTCATCCCAATCAACAAATGATTAAGGTGATACCCTAAGGAAGCCTCAGCGTGAACCTTCAAAGGCACAAATGTCAGCTTCCACAAAACATACAAATTTGAAATTGCTACTCTCTGTTTATAGTAGCACAGCACACAAGAAGTAGGAATTTCAAATTTGTATGTTTTATGGAAGCTGACATTTCCGGAGTGATTTGAGATTTGGGCGTAATTGCTTTTATAAACAAACACGTCAATTACTGATTTCTCTTGAATAAAAGCTCAATCTCACAAACAAACTATAAAATGATAGAGGAATAATTCCTCTACCTCATAGTGTTATTACGTGTCGAGATTAAGCTTTTATTCGCGAGAAATCGGTGCTTGACGTGTTTGTTTACAAATGCAATTACGCCCAAATCTCAAATCACTCTGGATTTGTGCCTTTAAAGTTTCACGCTAAGGCTTCCTAAGAGTATCACCTTAATTTGTTCAAAATATCTCTATGAATTCCGAATCCAAAATATAAAACAGATTCACTTGTGTTATAAAAACTACTTATTTATGAAACTAATTAGTTATTTTTATTTATTACTATTATACACAGTATCGAACTCGTGATTTTTGTATTATTAGACCATTTTCCGTCCATCTGAGCCATCAAGAATGCATACCGATAGTGTGCTCCAATACATTCAAGAGTTATTCATTGCAAATCGGACGTTCCAGAAGAGCTAAGAAGCAGAAGGAGTAAAATTTATGTAATAAAAATTGAGCTTAGCTGCTCCAAACTGAGAAAAGTTGTTCAAAGCTTCAACAAACCATGCTTTGCCAATTTATGGCAACACACTCATTGATTTGTTTTTTTTTTTGTATTCTTGCAGGTTGTGAATTGTGTAAATAATTTATGTGAAAAAATATTGAAATTAAAAAAAAATCAGAATAGCTTCATCCATCTATAGAAGAAGAAAAAAATAGTGTCAGTGATTTGATTCTCCATTGCTCCGCAAAGTGCCACAGTTGTTAGGAACAGAAGCTGCGATCAACCATTATCGACAACGCTCACGCACTCACACACCCGGTGATCGACCATGGCAAAAGTGATACATAACGTTGTGGTAAGTAGGCAAATCAACCGTTTCTACTTCGGACCCATTTCCATTTTGATAGATTGATTTCAATTCAAATCGATTTATTTGTACATGCAGTCCGCCTACGAAAGAAAAAAAAAATGATTGAATTAATTGTTAACGCACCGTCGTCAATGAATTACACAACACGAAACGGTGTCCAATTGTGCTTTAGTAACAACATCTTCAAACGTATCATAATTTGATGTTTCGTTTTTTAATGCGTTGAATTGGATGATACAAAATTAATTACTACTAAAAGCATTTCATTCAATTTTTTACCCTCGACGGATGGAATTATTCGGTTCAATTCAAGTGGGAAGAAACCATCTCGGTCTGACTTCGACAGCTACGCCAATCAACTTAAGCTACTATTTCCATAATCACAGTGCCGTAACATTTTAAGTGAATGTCAACCGCCCAGTAATTATTCCCTATCAACATCACATCACTCAAAATTGGTTGATACTATCAAGTCATTTTCCAGATTGTGGCAGTCTAGTGGCATACTAATTAGCATGACATTAACATTTGGTCACACCTTTTAATAACCGTCATGGTTAATATATACTTACATGTCATTACCAGCTGGCTTCAAACGGCTAGTGGATTAATTTTTTACTACCGAAACTAGTAGGTAATTAATGCAGCAGAACACGCGAGCAACTTTATTAAGCCCTAGGTTAAATTGATAACATGAGACGTTGGGCCTGCCCACAAGTGGCACTCCTTAAGCAGAACAAGTTTTCGAATAGCAAATGCTATGGCTATTAGATTAAATTTTAATCTTTTTTATGAACTTGTTAGCTACCTGTTTTAAGTGGATAATTGAAGCTACTTTGTCGTTGGATGCTGAACATAATTGGAAGTGCACACGCTGCCCAGTAAGACTGTGCCTAGAATTGGTTCTTCCATTGGTCATGCTGACAAATGTTTAAAACAAATCAGAATGCTTGAAATTATAATTAGAAAATTAAATGTACACTGACCCCATAATTATGGATCACTTCCATTTAATTACACTGAATGTAATAGAGGGAATTTTCCAACATTTATCAATGTAATAAGACAAGAGGTTCTCGGTTTTACGATCTGCGGTGACCTTTTGACAGATAAAATTGTAAATCATTGTCGGACCACAAGCACATCAGATAAGATTATAAAACCGGATTAAAAATATCAGAAGACTAGAGAAACCCACGAAAATCTATTGACCCGCATGCTAATACCATTTTTTTTTTCGTTCCATTGATAAGTCTATTAACGAATTTGAACACGTTCAAATCAAAGCTAGGCCCTACTGAATCATTCACAAAAAGGCTTATTAATTTATAAAATTAATTTGTAAACTATTTTCATGTAACTTTCAAAACTTTTCGAATAAAGGGTGTCCCACATCAAATTGCATAACGGAAAAAACGCTGAAGAAAATCAGGCGTAACATTTGAAAACGGCTTAAAACCCAAAACAACATAAATGAGTTTATGCTAACATTGTATTGATAATTTATTGAACTATTTACCGTATTAATCTTAAAATACGCCCTTTGCTTCAGCAAAAGTCGCAAAAGCATTCTGTGTCATGTTTGACACATGATGGTTTATACGCCCTCAGCCGTTTGAGATGATTGTTATTTGTAAAAAGAGTTCGAAGAATTCTACACAGTCGTCGAAGTGACACAGCAACAAAACAAATCATTTGAAAAATTTCCCGTACCACGCAAACATGGATCTTTCTGGCATTGAATTGTTGTTAAGTGAGTGTTTTTTTTTACATTTATGTGCGCTGCCTAGATATTGGTGGTCATTCTGACGTTCTTTTATAGTGTCTCCTTCTTGTCCGTTTCCTGGTGAATCCATAATATTATCACGGATTCACTCAACACAATTTGACTTAGTCTTTTTTTTTTGATAGTCGTGTCATTACAAAGTGTTCGATTATAGTTTTATAAAATTATTGTATTCCTATGGAACATGCTCCTCGGTGGAGGCTTGGCATTTGAACAACAGAATGCACAGAAAATCACATCGCAGCTTATGCCAAATGGCAATGATTTTCAATTTTAAAACAACATTTATCTACTTACAGGAGTGTCAGAACTGACGGCATTCAGCTCTGTATCCAGAGTACCATCTGTAGCTGCATATGTTATTGTGAAAACAGACGAAACGCAGATGCTAGATTATAATAATGTATCATTCCGCTGCCCTACTTCGACCTCCAACACAAGCCGGAAAAGAAGTTTCGAAAATGAACCACTGGATTTAACCAACTCTGGTCCGTTGGATCTTTCATCCACGGTAAGCATACAATCGGAGCATACATTACCGGAACCGTCCCCCATGATTGAGCTGATCATCGACCAACCTGTCGATTTAACAGTGCCTCGACGGGAGGAGAAGAACGTGCCGATTGATTTAGCAATGAAGCGACAAAATTCAACCTTCAATCCTGTCAGTTCATGGAACTGCACGCAGGTAGCTCAGAAACCTGGTTTCATTGAATCCGCTAAGGATGCCAAAGAATCACTCGTCAGATGTTCGTCAGCGGACGAAACCAACGTTGGATGTGGAATCCAATACCGGAAGAATCCATTACGAGATGCTCCAATAAGAAAATTTACCGCTTCGTTAAACGAGAATCTAGCACAGGGTATTCAAAATTCTGTAGACCCAATGATTGCCTTAATTAATGAGGAAACCGAGGATGCTTCGAAAGTTCAAGAACCGCCCACCGGATGTTCGACAGCTGACGAATCCAACGTTGGATGCATAATACAATGAAATGCGGACAGTCATATTATTCTCGTCAACTGTATACACTTAACTTTAAACAAGTGATGGTTTGAATCAGGCAACTTCTGGAATGAAAGCAAGGCCCGTAGGGGCTCTCAGGAGATAGCATCATGCCTTCTTAAAGATCTGCGAAGTACTAAGAAAGAAGTAACACGATTGCAATATTACTCAGACAGATGTGGCGGTCAAAACCTTAACATAACGGTGTGCATGATGTTCACATTCTTCATTGACGAATGTGTCAATGCAAATCGAGAGCTCACAATAACGCATAATTTCATGTGCACTGGACATGATTCACATGGAAGTCGACTGTGTCCATGCAAGTATCGAAAAGGCGAAAAAAGTAGCTGCTATTTATATAGAAACGCCTCACAATTGGGCGGTATTAATCGCTGGCATACGCCGAAAAGTGCCGTTCAGTGTTATCGAAATGGAGCTATCGGATTTCTTGGGGCTCAAGGACCTCGAAATGCTTAACACTAAACATTCAAATTCAATAATGAGCTTCCAATACCGCACATCATCGCCGAGAACTGTTTTCTATAAATATGACGTCCATCCGTATCCATCCTTCGTGTTTCAATCAAAAACGACAGGGGTACCACCACTTCCGGGACCGATTACACTGTCTCGATTACCTTTACCACAAGCCAAACTAGAAGATCTCCGGAAGCTGCTGAAGTATGTGAAAAATAAAGCTTACTACGAGCTTTTCTTGAAGCAGCTGGTCCCGAAGCAGCGTGGAAGGAAGGCAAAAGCAGAGGCAGTCGACCATTTTGAGGCAGATTTATATTACGACGAAGAATTGGAGAACATAAACTGCGTGAACAATGAATCCTTTTCTTTGGATCCTCTCGCGTAAATAAAGAGGGCTTTCATTAATGATATTGGACATTTGACATACATTAACGAGGTTAATTTTCCTAATGTAAGGGAAATACAGCATTCATATTATTTTATTCTTATCTCAAAACTTGACCGTATTCTTCATTAACTTCCCAGTGATTTTCTCTGCTGAGTCAAATTTATCGTTAGCTTGTTGGTGGTTTGAAACGGCATGCTGGAATCCTCGAACCAATGCAAACTGCTCACTAGTAAACTGCACTTAGTTGTGCAAATATACAATTTGAGGCTGGACTAATCTGATGACGGCTGTTGTTGTCGGAGACATGAGCTCGTTCGCTTTGAACGGTAAACGGACTACTTCTTTACTCCCAAATCGATCTCGCTCAGAACCAGCTTGAGGTTGTAAAAAGATTTCCTGTATATTTGATGGTTGTGGCTGTTAATTTGGCACAAAGTTTTTGCAAACGTTGCTCTGCTAAATCCCATGTCAGATTAGTTGACAAATTTGATCGATAGGTAATCCCAGGCCAAAATAATGCATCACAGGACAGTTTCATAGTGGCCTCGAGTCCAGAGATTGATCCACTATATTTTACTAACTCTTCTTTCTTTGAAACCATAAGTACTTTGAATTCATTTCAGATCATGCTTTAGCAGCCTTTTTCAGCAGTGGAAGCTCAAGGCGATGTTTATCTGTATGGTGCATTATTTTGCAAAATAATTTAAATTCAATACTTATTCACATCAATATTGCAATGAAATGCATACATACCCATTTTTGTTACCGTGAATATTATTGTTCAGCAAAACCCTATTCTTTTATTAACTAAGTTGTATACTGCTCCGTATTGAAATCAATTCAAACTGATTATAAAATACATAAAATTGTTCAGTCTACAGCTAATCAAGCAAAAATATCAAAGGACTTGTAAACTATTTACACTTAGCAAAGGGCATCAAATCACGGGCCTATAAACAAACTACCAACACAAAACAAAAAGTAATAGACGTAAATTCAAGGGCGTATGTCAAAACATTTATAGGTAGGGGCATAGAAACCAAAACTCAACATTCGAGCTAGGAAAAGAAAACCTTTATGATATCTCATATACAATTGTTAAAAATAAGTTTGTTTTGTAGTTTATTGCGTTATTTTTATTTTTGTTGAGCTGTCTAAATTTAATTAGAGATTTAAATAAAAATTTCCAAATTTCAATCGCAATTTTCTCGAGTACGCGGTATTGGCTTTTGTGCCGTTTTCAAATGTTATGCCCGAAATTATCCATTGGGTATTTTCTCTTGAAACTTTGGGTGGAAGTAGCTTAGAGTGTATTGTTAACACTG